TCTCAAGTGTAGTATATGGTCTAGTTTATTCACTAGTATATAATCTACAGTCTGGTTTACAATCTAGTATATAGTCATGACTACATTCTAATCTATGGACTAGTCTATATTTAAGCCTGAAGTCTGGTCTATAGTCAAGCCTATAGTCAGGTCTATAGTCAAGTCTATAGTCTGTTCAAGAGTATAGTTTATAGTCTGGTCTATAGTCTAGTTTATAGTCTGGTCTATAATCTAGTCTATAGTCTAGTCTGTAGCCTAGTCAGTCTATAGTATAATTTATAGTATAGCCTATAGTCTGGTCGATAGTCAAGTCTATGGACTAGTTTATAGTCTAGTCTATTGACTAGTTTATAGTCTAGACCTAGTTTATAGTCTAGACCTAGTTTATAGCCTAGTTTATACTATAGTCTACAGTCTAGTCTATTGACTAGTTTATAGTCTAGTTTATTGACAAGTTTATAGTCTAGTAGTCTAGTTTAGACTATAAACTATTGAATAGTTTATATTCCAGTCTATTGACTAGTTTATAGGCTAGTCCATTGACTAGTTTATAGTCTAATCTATTGACTAGATTATAGTCTAGTTTATTGACAAGTCTATAGTCTAGTCTATTGACTAGTTTATAGTCTAGTCTATTGACTAGTTTATAGTCTAGTCTACTGACTAGTTTATAGTCTAGTCTTTTGACTAGTTTATAGTCCAGTCTATTGACTAGTTTATAGCCTAGACTATTGTCTAGTTTATAGTATAGTGTACAGTCTAGTCTATTGACTAGTTTATATTATAGTCTACAGTCTAGTCTATTGACTAATTTATAGTCTAGTCTATTGACTAGTTTATAGTCTAGTCTATTAACTAGTATATAGTCTAGTGTATTGACTAGTTTATAGTCTAGTCTATTGACTAGTTTATAGTCTAGTCTATTGACTAGTTTATAGTCTAGTCTATTGACTAGTTTATAGCCTAGTCTACTGACTAGTTTATAGTCTAGTCTATTGACTAGTTTATAGTCTAGTCTATTGACTAGGTTATAGTCTATTGACTAGTTCATAGTCTAGTCTATTGACTAGTTTATAGTCTAATCTATTAACTAATTTGTAGTATAGTCTGTTGACTAGGTTATAGTCTAGTCTATTGACTAGTTTATAGTCTAGTCTATTGATTAGTTTATAGTTTAGTCTATTGACTAGTTTATAGTCTAGTCTATAGTCTTGTTTATTGAATACCACTCAAAAAGATGTTTGAAAACGTAAATATTTATTTTATAAAAGTTTCAGCTCCTAACATCAATAAGGAATGACTTTTAATCCAAAAATATAACACTATCCTGTCCTTCAATATATCAGTTCCATGATTTAGAAACAGAAATTCAAATTATAAATGTTTATTAAACTTTTTTAATTAAATTTTTTATAAAGGAAAACTTTCCTTAAAGATATTCCACAACTTTTTTAAAACGATCTTTTAAACCTTAAAAAACTTAAGCCGCTTTATATTTATAAATTGAAAAATACATTAAGCCTAAGTTTAAAAAACAAAAAAAGAAAACAGTTTTGCTCTGGATACAATATTTTTAATTGATAGTTATTATAGCGTAAGATATACATACACTCTAATTGGGTTCCAAAGTTATGCTTAATTAATTTTGGAAATATATATAATTTTTTTTTCAATGTATTTTAAGATCTTTTTTGGATAAAACAAATAAAAATATTTATATATTTCTTTAACAAAAAGACGCTTATTATATTAAAAATAATTATTTTTTTACTGTCTTAACACACACGTACACTTAGTTTACTATTAATTAATTTAATTATTTCTAAACTTACATTTATTTTAATAATTATTACAAGAAGAAAAAAATGCCATAAGAAATAATAAAAATTGACAAATTCATTGCTACCACAAAAAAATAAACTTTTTTATTTATAACTTTTTTGAAAAACAAATCTTTTTTTCCCATTATTTTTGGTGATGTGATAAAACCTAAAAAAGGAAATAATCAATTTTGTTAAACCAAACTTGTGTTTATCAATAAACAACAAGTACAAACAAGATGTCATATTTTAAACATGTGTTTTAGAAAAATTTTCAGTTTTTTGGATTCAAATAAAATTCTTTTTTGTTAATAATAACAATTAATTTAAAAATATCTTATATTACTTTTAAAGTTTTGTTATAAAAAATTAAAAAAAAATCCTTGCACAGGGGACACCCGGGTTTGAACCGGGGACCTCTCGATCTGCAGTCGAATGCTCTACCACTGAGCTATATCCCCTACTTATTTTGAAGGTTCTATTTTTATGCTTTTGTGCTACCAATCCAAAAGTAGAAATTAGTTAAAATATGTTCACACTAGCATCAGAACAAAAACAATTGAAAGATATCAACATTTGTTTACAATTTAATCAATAAAACAACACATAAAATGTATAAGAACCAGGAATGGAAAGTTTAGCACTTTCCACAATAATAATGTCATTTCATACAGCCAATAGACTAACAACTACATAATATGTGAAATTTATTAGAAAAGACAACCCTTTTCTAGTGTATACACTAGATTACAGTCTAGTCTATGTTATAGTATATTCAATAGCATTATGGGTTCTTTCCCAATTTAACGGTGAATGGCAGCAATTTATTCCAAATTTATGCCAAATTAAATATTTATAAAATGCCAAACATATTCCACTTTTTTTTAGTATATTTACAAATAGCAAACAAATTGAAATTGGCAACAGGTCATCAAGAATAAATTTAAATTAAAAGAAAAATTGTTCATACAAAATGTTTAATACATTTATCTGTTCGCGATTGTGAATATTAACTAACTCCTTGAAAACAATTAGAATTTGTTCAATAACAACATTTTTACTTTCTTAATTGGTTTTTATTATAGTAAACTCCATATTATGGAGACCTAACATTGCAATGTTTGGTTGCCACAATGCATTGTGGCAAGGATAACCGCAGGACATAACCTCAATGTAATTGAATACAGAAAAATTCTATTGGCCTAATAGAAGTATGATGAAGCAAGCATCCATGACGAAAAGGAAAGCAACAGAGAACAGGGACAAGCGAGCTACGGCGAGCGAGCGAGCGAGCGGCGAGGAGAGCGAGCGAGCGAGCAGCGACGAGCGAGCGAGGACGCGCGAGAGGCGAGCGAGCGAGCGAGCGAGCAGCGAGCAGCGAGCGAGCGAGCGAGGGGGAGCCAGCGAGCAGGGGAGCAGAGCGAGCGGCGACGAGCAGCGAGGGGGAGCGAGCGAGCGAGCGAGGCGAGCTCGAGCGAGAGCAGCGAGGCGAGCGAGCGAGCGAGCGAGCGAAGAGAGCGAGCGAGCGAGCGAGCGAGCGAGCGAGCGAGCGAGCGAGCGAGCGAGCGAGCGAGAGCGACGAGCGAGCGAGCGAGCGAGCGAGCGAGCGAGCGAGCGAGCGAGCGAGCGAGCGAGCGAGCGAGCGAGCGAGCGAGCGAGCGAGCAGCGAGCGAGGAGCGAGCGAGCGAGCGAGCGAGCTAGGCGAGGAGCGAGCGAGCGAGCGAGCGAGCGAGCGAGCGAGCGAGCGAGCGAGCGAGCGGAGAGCGAGAGAGCGAGAGCGAGGAGCGAGCGAGAGAGCGAGCGAGCGAGCGAGCGAGCGAGAGACGAGCGAGCGAGCGAGCGAGCGAGCGAGCGCGCGAAGCGAGCGAGCGAGCGAGCGAGCGAGCGAGCGAGCGAGCGAGCGAGCGATCGAGCGAGCGAGCGAGCGAGCGAGCGAGCGAGCGAGCGAGCGAGCGAGGAGCGAGCGAGCGAGCGAGCGAGCGAGCGAGCGAGCGAGCGAGCGAGCGAGCGAGCGAGCGAGCGAGCGAGCGAGCGAGCGAGCGAGCGAGCGAGCGAGCGAGGCGAGCGAGCGAGCGAGCGAGCGAGCTAGCGAGCGAGCTAGCGAGCGAGCGAGAGAGCGAGCGAGCGAGCGAGCGAGGATCGAGCGAGCGAGCAGCGAGCGAGCGAGCGAGCGAGCGAGCGAGCGAGCGAGCGAGCGAGCGAGCGAGAGAGCGAGCGAGCGAGCGAGCGAGCGAGCGAGCGAGCGAGCGAGCGAGCGAGCGAGCGAGCGAGCGAGCGAGCGAGCGAGCGAGCGAGCGAGCGAGCGAGCGAGCGAGCGAGCGAGCGAGCGAGCGAGCGAGCGAGCGGAGCGAGCGAGCGAGCGAGACGAGTCGAGTCGAGCGCGGCGAGCGAGCGAGCAGCCGAAGCGAGCCGAATCTTAATATCTATCATCTATCTTCTATCTATCTACTATCTATTATGTATATATCTATCTATCTATCTATCTATCTATCTATCTATCTATCTATCTACTATCTATCTATCTATCTATCTATCTATCTATCTATCTATCTATCTATCTATCTATCTATACATCTATCTATCTAAAAACGACGATTTGAAAGTATAAAAGTATCCTTATAAGGATACGTATACGTAGAGTGTATATAATAAAACTCAAAAATAATAATAAAACGTTATATTTAAGATTTCTTCTTGTTTTTTTATTCAAAATAAATTTGCGCACATACATATCATTAAAAAATAGTTTTGTTCTCAAAGCAATATGAAAGATTACACAAACAGTATTTCTACCGATGAAAAAATCACAATTGATTTATTTCGAAAAAGTATAACAACAATTTAAATTAGAAATGCAAATAAAAAATTTATTAACAAAAAAAAAATTATAAAATAAATGTAAAATTAATGAAGGGATGTTTTAACAAACTTAATAAGCAAATCTATTATCGGGATGATAACCTAATTGATCCAAGGCAGGATTGCAGGCAAAATTAATCATGGGTGGTGGACCACACATTAAAGTAATGGTAGAATCATCGGCGGGGAATAAATTAACTTTAATCATCATGTCGTTGATAAAACCAACACTATAGGTCCAGCCTAAAATAGAGAAAAGGAAAACAAAATACATACATTAGTAAATATTAAAAATATAAAAAGTTAAATAAATAAAAGCTACCTTTCCTTAACTATACACTTTAAGGCAGCATTAAAATATAAATTTAAATGGTTAAATAAATAAACTATAATTTAAAATTACACAACATATATGTACATATGTATGTATGTGTGTATTATCTACACATTCCATTTTTAAAACTCTCTACTTGTAAGAACTTCTGTTAGATTATCTAGTGTCCTGTTCTGTTTATTTGGTTTTGTATTATTTAGTAACTAAAACGCATTTCACTTTTATGACCCAGCCTATCGAGACCAGGTATACAGGTATAATTAACCATTGGTGGTGGTCCACATAGTAAGCATAGCGTATCATCCGATGGTAAATACAAATGATCTCGCATCATTTCATCATTTATATAACCGGTGTTATATGTCCAGCCTTTAAGTTTTCGTCGTGGTGTCCGCATTTTTTTGGCAGCATTTTTTAAAAAGAATTATTTTTAAGAAAGAATTAAAGAAAATTTGAAGAATATTTTTTAATTCGCAAAAAAACGTGTGCAATTTTTTTTTATAGAAATTGATTTAATTGAAATTAGAATAATCAAAAATGATGAGAATATAAATGAAAAAACTTAGGAATCGTAAAAGTATAAAGTAGTTTAAGAAATGGGAAAATATTTAATAATAGTTTAAGGCATTGGGAATGCTAAACTAACAAGTTATAGATCTCTTATTTATGAAATGATTAATACGTTTATAAACTATAGATAGAACTCCTAACCAAAACAAAAATCATCTACTCCTTTAAAAATTTTTTAAGGGGATCGTTTTTTCCTCGTTCCTAACAATGTATTCATAAATTTAGAAAACAAACATGTTTAATTCAACGTGTTCTCTTCATTGATTGGAGGCCCAACAACTACTTAAGTATTAAACAAATGCAAAAAATTAAAGTCATTAAACCTTATCTGACGACGAAAAAAAATTTCAACATTTCCGTAACACCTGCAGAAATTTGAATCGGCAAGTGATAGCATTTCAAAACAATAAATATGCTAATAGTGACATGTTAAATAAACAGTGCTGGAAAAAGTAATAGGTACATCAATTTTTAGTTTTAGTTAAGCTTAGGCAATATTTCTATCAGCCTTACAGGAATAACTATAATATAGTACCAGTCTTGAGTACACTACAGTCCATACTGTAAACTATTCTATAGTCCAGACAATAGGTTATACTATAGTCCAGATTATATAATAGACCAGACTATAGACTATACTAAAGTCCAGACTTTAGACTATACTATAGCCCAGATTAGAGACTTATAATAGTCCAGACTATGGACTAAACCATAGTCTAGACTATGCTATAGTCCAGACTATAGACTGTACTATAGTTCATACTATGACTGTATAGTCCATACTATAGACTATACTACAGTCCAGAATTTAGACTATACTATAGTCCAGACTTTAGACTACACTATTCCCCAGGCTATAGATTATAGTCCAGACTATATATTATATTCCAGACTATAGACTTTATTAGTCCAGTCTATAGTCTACACTATAGTCCAGACTCTAGACGATATTATAGTCCAGACTATACATGATACCATAGTCCAGACTATAGAAGATACCATAGTCCAGACTATAGACGATACTATATTCCAGATTATAGATTAAACTATAGTCCAGACAATAGACTACTATAGTCCAGACTATAGACTATACTATAGTCCAGACTATAGATTATACTATATATTATATTCCAGACTATAGACTTTATTAGTCCAGTCTATAGTATACACTATAGTCCAGACTCTAGACGATATTATAGTCCAGACTATAGACTATACTATAGTCCAGACTATAGACTATACTATAGTCCAGACTATAGACTATACTATAGTCCAGACTATAGACGATACTATAGTCCAGGCTATAGACGATACTATAGTCCAGGCTATAGACGATACTATAATCTAGACTATAGACGATACTATAGTCCGCTGCTAAATTTTAGTTGTTTATCTTATCTGTAATATTTTTAACTTAGCTGAATAACAGTTTACAGTTGATTTCAATAAAAAATTTAATAAATCTTTAAATTATAATAGCTGAATTAAATATTTACGCAGCTGAATAGCATTTTACTAGAACTTTTAACAATACTATTAAACGTATGAATTGATGTTATAAGCTGCTGAATTGTAGTTTTTTAAGTTGTTTTATATTAAAGGTAGTATTTTTAACGAAAATAATGTCAACATAGCTGAATTACAGTTTAAAGTTGATTTCAATAAAAATTTGAATAAATCTTTAAATATTAATAGTTGAATTAAATATTTATGCAGCTGAATTGTAGTTTCTTAGAATTTTTAATAATACTTTAAAGGAATTTGTGCATAATCATATAAATTTGTTAGCTGAATTGATTTCTTATGCTGCTAAATTTCAGTTTTTAACTTATTAGTTTAAAATAATTGAAATGTAATTAAAACTTTAGTATTTTTATTACAAGAAAAAAAACAGAATTTACTTAGCAGAATTGCACTTAATTGTAAATTTCAATAAAAATTTCATTAAGACTTTAAAATCTGTTAGCTGAATTAAATATTTATGCAGCTAAATAACATTTTACTAAAACTTTTAAATATACTTTAAAGGATTCTTAAAAAAATGTTAGCTGAATTGATTATTTAAGTTGCTGAATTGCAGTTAATAGTTGATTTCAGTAAAAATTTTATTAAAACATTAAAATCTCTTAGCTGAATTAAATATTTAAGTAGCTGAATTGAATTTTTACGCAGCCGAATTGCAGTTTGTTACATTATTTATGATAAAATGTAATATTTCTTTAGCTGAATTAAAATTAACTTAGCTGAATTAGTATTAACTTGGCTGAATTATAGTTTGCCAAACATTTTAATAAAAAATTTAATAAATCTTTTAAATGTATTAGCTTAATTAGATATTTAAGCAGCTGAATAGTACCTAAAGTTCAGGAAAAGGTTTTTTTTAACTTAAACTAAATGTTAAAATATAAATAATGTGCCTCTTATTAAAAAAACAATAGTAATAAACAAAGTTTAAATTATTTATATTTTAAATTAAAAAAAAGCCATAAACTAAACTCACCTTCACCAGCTTTATCAACAGTATACCAGACTTTGAATTGATCTGGATGTTTCTTGGCCAATTCATCAAGTTCATTGCGTAATAAAATATCCTTTTCACTCTGCAAATATTAAACACAATAAAATAAATTAAATATTCCCCAATTAATACTAATTAAACTTACCTGATTAGCAAACAATAAAGCCAATTCAGTTTTATCCTTTTCACTATGTTTCAAGACATCACGCACCAACTGCAACATGGGTGTAATGCCAGTACCGCCAGCAATCATATTAACACGTTTAGCAGTAACAGTCTTGGGAGGATCTTTACGCAATTTCTTAATGGAGAAATTACCATTACCCAAATATTGCAAACGGCCCGAAGGACCACGGAAAGAAATCTTATCACCAATTTGCATTTGATCTAAATATTGAGACATTTTGCCACCAGCTGGAAATTTGGGATGAGTATCTTTGAAATAAACCTTAACCACTAAATCAACATAACCCACATCGTCATCGGAAGAAATGGGTGTATATGGACGTATCACTAGTTCATTATCAATGGTGGCAATAAGATGAATATGCTGACCCACAGGCAGACCCAATATATGCTGATGTGAGGGTAAACCAAAACGGAAGCGACGTGTATCATGACTCAAGACTTCTTTTTCAATCAAAGGTAATTGATATTTATCATTAGCATCGATTAAAGTACGCAGACGTGCTGTTCTATTTGGTTCTGGGCGGGGTTTCTTTGTGGATTTTTTATTAATTAAATAATGGATAATAACAGCGCCAGCTACTACAGCAACTAGGCCCACAGCAATGGGGATAATCTAAAAGAAATTTTAAAATTAATGAAAATTAATTATATTTCTTTATCAGTTTAATTAGTAACAGCTGTATGATTAGGCATTTTTATTATTTCTCAACATCTATATTAAAAGTATAGTTAATTAGATATTTATATATTAAACAAAATAAATAAATCATCTCTCATTCAGTTGTTTACATAGATTTTTTTTAGCTTTAGCTAGTAAAATATTTACTTAATATAAACATTTTCCTAACACTTTGCTAAATAAAAAACATAACGTATTTAGCGAATATGTTTACAAAAATAAAAATAAACATTTATATTCATATCAGTTTAAAAGTTTTATAAATTTGTAGATTGTAGAATGTGAAAGTTATAATCACGTTAGCTAGTAATTTAAAGCTAGAATACTTGGTAAACTTACATACGTGTGTATTTAGAAATGATTAATGTTAACAATATAATAGGGTTATTAGATTGAGGGTTAAAGGTTAACTTCGTTATTATAGCTTATTAAACTAAAATAAAAGATTAGAAAAACAAAATAGTATTACTAATAGTATAGTATACAGAGAAAAGTGTGTAGAACTGAACTATAACTGAACTAGAACTGAACTAGAACTGAACTATAACTGAACTATAACTGAACTATAACTGAACTATAACTGAACTAGAACTGAACTAGAACTGAACTAGAACTGAACTAGAACTGAACTAGAACTGAACTAGAACTGAACTAGAAATGAACTAGAACTGAACTAGAACTGAACTAGAACTGAACTAGAACTGAACTAGAACTGAACTAGAACTGAACTAGAAATGAACTAGAACTGAACTAGAACTGAACTAGAACTGAAGTAGAACTGAACTAGAACTGAACTAGAACTGAACTAGAACTGAAACTAGAACTGAACTAGAACTGAACTAGAATCTGAACTACGAAACTGAAACTAGAACTGAAACTAGGAACTGACTAGAACTGAACTAGAACTGGAAACTAGCAGCTGAACTAGAACTGAACTAAGAAACTGAACTAGAACTGAACTAGAAACATGAACCTAGAACTGAACTAGAACTGACTAGAACTGAACTAGAACTGAACTAAACTGAACTAGAACTAGAACGAGACTGAACTGAAAAGAACTGAACTAGAACCTGAACTAGAACTGAACTAGAACTGAACTAGAACTGATACCTCAGAACTGAAACATAGAACTGAACCAGAACTGAATAGAACTGAACTAGAACTGAACTCGAAACTGAACTAGAACTGACTAGAATCTGAACTAGAACGAAACTAGACTGAACTAGAACTGAACTAGAACTGAACTAGGAACTGAACTAGAACTGAACTAGAACTGAACTAGAAACTGAACTAGGAACTGAACTAGAACTGAACTAGAACTGAACTAGAACCTGAACTAGAACTGAACTAGAACTGACTAGAACTGAAACTAGAACTCGAACTAGAACTGAACTAGAACTGAACTAGAACTGAACTAGAACTGAACTAGAACTGAACTAGAACTGAACTAGAACTGACTAGAACTGAACTAGAACTGAACTAGAACTGAACTAGAACTGAACTAGAACTGAACTAGAACTGAACTAGAACTGAACTAGAACTGAACTAGAACTGCAACTAGAACTGAACTAGAACTGAACTAGAACTGAACTAGAACTGAACTAGAACTGAGTTAGAGCTTAAATCGTTCCCACGACTTTTGCAAAATGGTCACATCGAAGTAGAAAAGGAAACTGTATTCCTGTAAGAATCTTTAAAATGATTAATGAAAAGTAAATATAAAAATTTTGAAGCCATAATTATACCTCATTCTTTTACATTTATATTTCCAAAAATGTTTAGATCACATATTACCAAAATACATAATCATATTACAAATTATTTTTAGTCAAACACAGTAAAGAATGTTGTACTCTTTAAAGTGTTTCGAATTGCGCAAAATCCGGTCATTCACCCACTAAATTAAGAACGAAAATTCTTTAAGCGAAAAATTATACAATTTTTATGCATAACAATAAAGTCTATAAATTATGTAAGAAACTACATAATTCCTATTGGAGAGTATGTTTATTAAAATTCAAAATATAACAATTATTAGAATATTTTAGCAAATTATTTCAAACGCCAATATTTTAGAAAATTATAGAAAATATAGAACTGAACTAGAACTAAACTAGAGCTGAACTAGACCTAAATTAGAACTAAATTAGAACTGAACAAAAAGTAAACTACAACCAAATTAGAACTGAACAAAAACTGAACTGAATTAGAAATGAACTAGAAATGAACTAGAACTGAACTAGAACTGAACTAGAACTGAACTAGAACTGAACTAGAACTGAACTAGAACTGAACTAGAACTGAACTAGAACTGAACTAGAACTAAACTAAACTATAACTGAAATGCAACTAAACTAAAAATGTATGCTTATTTCGTCAGACGCTTATTTATATGTACATATTTTGTGTATTTACTAATCCGTGAGAAAATCATCAACTTTAATTTATTGCTAAAAGAATTTGTCACTATTTAAATAAGAATACCCCAACAACAACCCAAATAATGTAAAATCAAATAGCACCTGGTTTGAATAAAATTTGCAATCTAATTGTTTAATTAAATCTACTATGAACAATACTGTCAGAACAGACAAGCAATATGTATGCCAACCAACAGCCACCTTACCCACATTTTCTATAAATGTAAATTAAAAATAAACAAAAACAAAATGCTTAAAAGAATAAAAGCCATTTAATGACTTCATAAATAAAATTTTAAAAATAAATATTACGACAGACATGAAATTAAGAACACGAAGAAAACATTTCTTTTATAAATAAAAGATGAGTCATGGTAATTAATTAAAACAAAAGCAATAATAATTAGTTTCGTATATAGAAAATATGTAACAAATTCTTTGATAAAACTTACATGATTATCACTAATTGGTCTTGCCATTGTGTAAGGTTATGGTCAGCAAAAATTCTCCACTAAACGGCAGAACACAGCAGAGAGAGCCGAAAAAGTATTGATTCGAATTTTCAAAAAATATATTTTTGTAAATAAAACGTTTACAATAAAGCTTAATAAGTTTTTAAGCTAAAATACTGAGATACTTGGTGTTTTTTTTTTATAATATTATGGAATTGTTATGTAATATTTAAGAGGCAGTTGTAGTATAGATATTTCCTTTTTACGCCAATTGAAGAACTTTCCTTATTTTATATGCAGATTTTTCTGTTGCTTTAATTTTTTATCTTGTTGTTTGCTTTTTTTTATTTTATTTTATTCAATATCAAGGCACATTCATTGAATTTTTGTATTTAATTTATAAAGTTCAATGTACATATTTAAATTTTCACTTGGCTTTTTTTATTTTGCAATTTAGGAACCTTTATTTTATAAGTGTACAATTCTTCTGTGATCTATAGAGTGCCTTTAACTCAAGCAAATTATTTTTTTTTTTTTGTTTAAAAATAAACGACAGTAGCAATCAGTTGTTGTTTGATGTGACTTGTGTATTGTATTAATGCTGTTGGCTTTCTGCTGTTTCTGACCAAAAGCGAACTATAAAATCAAACATTCATATTCCTCTATTCATTCACGATTCTTCCACCACTGGTATTTTAATTACATTTATTATTTTCACTCGCAGACTGTTTGACGTAGTTAATGAAAAATTCTTTTCTATGGAATAGAGAGTAAGAGAATGTATTAGAAAGGTTTTATTCAATAAATTGTTGTTATAGAAAATTTATTATTTGCTCTTACCAGTTTCTAATGAAATTCTCCGAGAGCCAAACTGTATAGTGGTTGCGCGGCTAATATTTGACAGGTGTTTGTGTGCTAAAAGAAAAGCGAAGACAAAATATATTAGGATTTTTTAGTTATGGCAACTATTAGAGTGAATATTTTCTTTTGGATTATACAATGTTTTCGGTGACAACAACATTGTGGTAGGCAATAAACACAAATTTAGATTTTAAATTCTTTAAATATTTCATCGTGATTGATGATTTTGTCCCACATACACACAGTACAGCATACTATAGTCCAGACTATAGACTAGACTATAGACTAGACCATAGACTAGACTATAGACTAGACTATAGATTAGACTATAGACTAGACTATAGACTAGACTATAGACTAGACTATAGACTAGACTATAGACTAGACTATAGACTAGACTATAGACTAGACTATAGACTAGACTATAGACTAGACTATAGACTAGACTATAGACTAGACTATAGACTAGACTATAGACTAGACTATAGACTAGACTATAGACTAGACTATAGACTAGATTATAGACTAGACTATAGACTAGACTATAGACTAGACTATAGACTAGACTATAGACTAGACTATAGACTAGACTATAGACTAGACTATAGACTAGACTATAGACTAGACTATAGACTAGACTATAGACTAGACTATAGACTAGACTATAGACTAGACTATAGACTAGACTATAGACTAGACTATAGACTTAGACTATAGACTAGACTATAGACTAGACTATAGACTAGACTATAGACTAGACTATAGACTAGACTATAGACTAGACTATAGACTAGACTATAGACTAGACTATAGACTAGACTATAGACTAGATATAGACTAGAATATAGACTAGACTATAGACTAGACTATAGACTAGAATATAGACTAGACTATAGACTAGACTATAGACTAGACTATAGACTAGACTATAGACTAGACTATAGACTAGACTATAGACTAGACTATAGACTAGACTATAGACTAGACTATAGACTAGACTATAGACTAGACTATAGACTAGACTATAGACTAGACTATAGACTAGACTATAGACTAGACTAGACTAGACTATAGACTAGACTATAGACTAGACTATAGACTAGACTATAGACTAGACTATAGACTAGACTATAGACTAGACTATAGACTAGACTATAGACTAGACTATAGACTAGACTATAGACTAGACTATAGACTAGACTATAGACTAGACTATAGACTAGACTATAGACTAGACTATAGACTAGACTATAGACTAGACTATAGACTAGACTATAGACTAGACTATAGACTAGACTATAGACTAGACTATAGACTAGACTATAGACTAGACTATAGACTAGACTATAGACTAGACTATAGACTAGACTATAGACTAGACTATAGACTAGACTATAGACTAGACTATAGACTAGACTATAGACTAGACTATAGACTAGACTATAGACTAGACTATAGACTAGACTATAGACTAGACTATAGACTAGACTATAGACTAGACTATAGACTAGACTATAGACTAGACTATAGACTAGACTATAGACTAGACTATAGACTAGACTATAGACTAGACTATAGACTAGACTATAGACTAGACTATAGACTAGACTATAGACTAGACTATAGACTAGACTATAGACTAGACTATAGACTAGACTATAGACTAGACTATAGACTAGACTATAGACTAGACTATAGACTAGACTATAGACTAGACTATAGACTAGACTATAGACTAGACTATAGACTAGACTATAGACTAGACTATAGACTAGACTATAGACTAGACTATAGACTAGACTATAGACTAGACTATAGACTAGACTATAGACTAGACTATAGACTAGACTATAGACTAGACTATAGACTAGACTATAGACTAGACTATAGAATAGACTATAGACTAGACTATAGACTAGACTATAGACTAGACTATAGACTAGACTATAGAATAGACTATAGACTAGACTATAGAATAGACTATAGACTAGACTATAGACTAGACTATAGACAAGACTATAGACTAGACTATAGACTAGACTATAGACTAGACTATAGACTAGGACTATAGACTAGACTATAGACTAGACTATAGACTAGACTATAGACTAGACTATAGACTAGACTATAGACTAGACTATAGACTAGACTATAGACTAGACTATAGACTAGACTATAGACTAGACTATAGACTAGACTATAGACTAGACTATAGACTAGACTATAGACTAGACTATAGACTAGACTATAGACTAGACTATAGACTAGACTATAGACTAGACTATAGACTAGACTATAGACTAGACTATAGACTAGACTATTAGACTAGACTATAGACTAGGACTATAGACTAGACTATAGACTAGACTTATAGACTAGACTATAGACTAGACTATAGACTAGACTATAGACTAGACTATAGACTAGACTATAGACTAGACTATAGACTAGGACTATAGACTAGACTATAGACTAGGACTATAGACTAGACTATAGACTAGACTATAGACTAGGACTATAGACTAGACTATAGACTAGACTATAGACTAGACTATAGACTATAGACTAGACTATAGACTAGACTATAGACTAGACTATAGATAGACTAGACTATAGACTAGACTATAGACTAGACTATAGACTAGACTATAGACTAGACTATAGACTAGACTATAGACTAGACTATAGACTAGACTATAGACTAGACTATAGACTAGACTATAGACTAGACTATAGACTAGACTAGACTATAGACTAGACTAGACTATAGACTAGACTAGACTAGACTATAGACTAGACTAGACCATAGACTAGACTAGACTATAGACTAGACTAGACTATAGACTAGACTAGACTATAGACTAGACTATAGACTAGACTAGACTATAGACTAGACTAGACTATAGACTAGACTATAGACTAGACTATAGACTAGACTATAGACTAGACTATAGACTAGACTATAGACTAGACTATAGACTAGACTATAGACTAAACTATAGACTAGACTATAGACTAGACTATAGACTAGACTATAGACTAGACTATAGACTAGACTATAGACTAGACTATAGACTATTCTATAGACTAAACTATAGACTAGACTATAGACTAGACTATAGACTAGACTATAGACTAGTCTATAGACTAAACTATAGACTAGACTATAGACTAGACTATAGACTAAACTATAGACTAGACTATAGACTAGACTATAGACTAGACTATAGACTAGACTATAGACTAGACTATAGACTAGACTATAGACTAGTCTATAGACTAAACTATAGACTAGACTATAGACTAGACTATAGACTAGACTATAGACTAGTCTATAGACTAAACTATAGACTAGACTATAGACTAGACTATAGACTAGACTATAGACTAGACTATAGACTAGTCTATAGACTAAACTATAGACTAGACTATAGACTAGACTATAGACTAGACTATAGACTAGACTATAGACTAAACTATAGACTAGACTATAGACTAGACTATAGACTAGACTATAGACTAGACTATAGACTAGACTATAGACTAGACTATAGACTAGTCTATAGACTAAACTATAGACTAGACTATAGACTAGACTATAGACTAGACTATAGACTAGTCTATAGACTAAACTATAGACTAGACTATAGACTAGACTATAGACTAGACTATAGACTAGACTATAGACTAGACTATAGACTAGACTATAGACTAGACTATAGACTAGACTATAGACTAGACTATAGACTAGACTATAGACTAGACTATAGACTAGACTATAGACTAGACTATAGACTAGACTATAGACTAAACTATAGACTAGACTATAGACTAGACTATAGACTAGACTATAGACTAGTCCTATAGACTAAACTATAGACTAGACTATAGACTAGACTATAGACTAGACTATAGACTAGACTATAGACTAAACTATAGACTAGACTATAGACTAGACTATAGACTAGACTATAGACTAGACTATAGACTAGACTATAGACTAGACTATAGACTAGTCTATAGACTAAACTATAGACTAGGACTATAGACTAGACTATAGACTAGACTATAGACTAGACTATAGACTAGACTATAGACTAGACTATAGACTAGACTATAGACTAGACTATAGACTAGACTATAGACTAGACTATAGACTAGACTATAGACTAGACTATAGACTAGACTATAGACTAGACTATAGACTAGACTATAGACTAGACTATAGACTAGACTAGACTATAGACTAGACTATAGATTAGACTATAGACTAGACTATAGACTAGACTATAGACTAGACTATAGACTAGACTATAGACTAGACTATAGACTAGACTATAGACTAGACTATAGACTAGACTATAGACTAGACTATAGACTAGACTATAGACTAGACTATAGACTAGACTATAGACTAGACTATAGACTAGACTATAGATTAGACTATAGACTAGACCATAGACTAGACTATACAAAAATTAAAAATTTATTAACATTTTGTTTAGCGTATGCCCGATGTGCACTGCTGTATTTTTAAGCGTTTTTACATAAATATTTAACACACAACACTGCATTATGCGCATGAGAAAGATTATCTCTCTCTTTTTTAAATTCGCAAAATTTATATTAGATAAGAATTATTTAAAATTATTTATATTTTTGCAAAAAATAAACAATGTCAAATTTATAATGGAATCATTAAGATAAAAATACACTAATTAACGAAAAAATAATATATGTACCTACAATTATATTTTCACAAATAACTTGAACATATTTTTACTATACCTTGCAGTTTATATATTTTTTTTTTTTTTTTGCAAATACACAAGAAACCGGCTTTAGTTAAAAAGAACAACAATAGATTAAACGTTTTTACAAATAGCAAAGTTATTAAACAAAAATATAAAAAATGTATAATATATGCACAATTTGTATAAATTTCTTTTTTTTTAATATTGGCATACAAAATTTTCGATTTACTTATCAAAACAAGACAAATAGACAACGGAATAATGAAAATAATAACACAACAACAAAAATATTAACAAGTTAACACTGTTGTCAACTTTTCAAAATAATAAACTGTAAAATATTGTACTAAAAACCGATTGCATGCTAATATTTGTTTTTAATTTGGCGGGTATTAGATGTTGACATTTTAGCACTTTTTTTGGCAAGATTTTTATACAGTAGTAAAGGAATTTTAGTAAAATAGGATAGATGTGTCTTTTAAATGCTTTGAAAGCTTTTAATTAATAAGAATTAATTATTTATTTATAATTTTATGAAATTTAATATGTAGTTAACAAAACTCGAGTTGATCTACTTTAGCGATTATGTCCCCCTGTTTAAATATGGCGTCTAAATTCGAAAGTCATACACAATACCTAAAGCGCCTTGGCGACACATCAAATTGTTTGTCTCAAACGGTAAGTTTTTTGATTGTGTTAGTAAAAAAAACTCACACCGCATATATACATGTGATTTTTTTCACTAACACAATCAAAAAACTTACCGTTTGAGTCAAACTAATTTGATGTGTCGCCGTGTCGCTTAACACTTCAAAATTCTTTTGCAATTTCAGATTAGAAGGAGCGCGATTAACACTTCCACTCGCAGATTGCTGTGGTTTATTATGATTCCCTTAAGAATTAAAAAATAAACAAACTTGGAAGATAGGAATACATCAAGAATAAGAAATGATAAACAAAATTTTAATTAGAGAAGTGGATAAGGTGATAACATATTATAATAGGCCTTTAAATTACCAACATATTGCCCTTATAAAAAATGGTTTATGTATTTTTCTTTCATAATTATTTTATCGTTTCTATTTCCCATTTTTAATAACACTTTTAGCAACTCTGTAGCTATTCAACAAAAACAACTCTGTTCAAATACAACTATGTATAGAAAATGTCATTTTGTTTGACAGCAGCTGCTGTGAGAAAATTTTCTGGACTTTCTTTTCTGTTTTAACTTTTGACAAAAGCAGTCATGGCGTAAGTGATTTTCTCGTGTTAAAAATTTTTTAAAATAAATTAATCATTAAATATTTTCAACATCTTTAAATAATTTTACAAAATATTAATATTTTCCAATAAATGCCTTGATCATATAATGGTTTTAAATAATATTTTTTATTTTTGTGGCAATTATAAACCAGCTTTATGGATTTTCAATGTCCACCTTAAGTTTGGAAATAATTGCTAAATTAATTTTGAAAATTTTTGTATAATAAATTATTAACTCTTTTATATAAGTTTTTAATTAAAACAATAATTTTTACAAATGTTCTATACAAAATAATTGTTGATGATTTGAATTTTGGAAACAAACTAATGAAAAACACGTTTTTTTATTTTCTTTTATATTACAGTTCAAAAGTTTCCCGTGATACTTTGTACGAGAGCGTTAACAGCGTCTTGGAATTCTCCTCCAAGAAGAAGCGTGGCTTCTTGGAAACCGTTGAATTGCAAATCGGTTTGAAGAACTACGATCCCCAAAAGGATAAGCGTTTCTCCGGCACTGTCAAGTATGTTGAGTTTCAACCTGTATGAATTGAAAATTCTTTCAAAGATGCTGCTTTAAGGCATCTCTGGGAGTTTTGATTTTCTACAGGAAGTCAAGTGTATTGGCATTTGACGGACCTTTACTCAGGGTCTTAAAATCAAATTGAGAAGGCCTAATCTCTCTACGGTGCTAAACCGCAAAGAGAAGCAGCCGCCCTTTTCGATATTTTAAAGAACAAAAAAACTTGCTACTTCCCTTGTACGCTAACAGGGATTATGTGTAAGTTTATGAAATCTTAATATCTGGGAAGATAATTTAATTGTTAGTATTACAGAAACAAACTTATATTCTTTAGAAGAATTCTTATACTTCTAAGGAACATGTGTTTGTTTTTGAGTTACCAATTAAGTTATTTCTGGGCATTTAGTAAACCAATGGATTGTTTGGATGTTTAAAATGATGTTAATATTTTATTGCATGTATTACCTGAAAACCTAAGAGCCTTTGGTTTTCATGTGGATAAACGTGACTGATTTAAACATTACCAAACTAAATTGGCAACTATTTGAAATTTTTAAGAAAATGAACATAAACTAATTTCTTTGTTTTTCTTTGAACACTTCCAGATTGAAGCACATCCCCCGCCCAAAAATGAAGGTCTGCATCTTGGGTGATCAACAGCATTGTGATGAAGCCAAGGCTAACGGCGTTGAATGCATGGATGCTGAAGCTTTGAAGAAATTGAACAAGAACAAGAAGTTGGTTAAGAAATTGGCCAAATCTTATGATGCTTTCTTGGCTTCTGAATCTTTGATCAAACAAATTCCCCGTCTCTTGGGTCCCGGTTTGAACAAGGCTGGCAAGTTCCCTGGTCTTTTGTCTCATCAAGAATCCATGATGGGCAAGATCGAAGAAGTCAAGTCCACCATCAAGTTCCAAATGAAGAAAGTATTGTGCTTGTCCGTTGCTGTCGGTCACGTTGACATGAAACAAGACGAATTAGTCCAAAACATCCATTTGTCCATCAATTTCTTGGTATCTTTGTTGAAGAAGAACTGGCAAAACGTTCGCTCTTTGCACATCAAGTCATCCATGGGCCCACCCCAACGTTTGTACTGATTTGTTTTTAGAAAAAAACTGTTTTTTATGCTTTGCATTTTTATGTTTTATAAAAATGTAAAATAAAAAATAATTTAAAAAAATTATGTTTGGTTTTGAAATTTTTATAAGGGTAAAATTACTTATGGGTATTAAAATTTTGGATGCTAGATAGGTATATACTCAGAATTCTATCTTTAGATTGAAACAAGCGGTAATTTAGCAGTTCATAGAGAAGCGAGGTCCTTGTAGTAAATTAATAGAAGGAAAGCATAATTTTTAGATATCAAAGTTTACAACACTGGAATCTCCAATGGAAATGTATCTCACCAATAAAAACACACCTTTAAATTATAAAAAGAAATGTACATTTATTAACTAATTCGCATCCAATTCCATCTCTAATTTATGCACTTTTGTTAAACTTATTAACTTAGCAATACTATTACGTTTTTCTATAGCCGGTTTTGAATCATTATAGAATTGTGTTACCGCTGTAGCCAGCTTGTATTCATATCGAGCTGGATTAAAGTCTTTACTCCACTCCAGGGAAAAGTATTCTTTGCGATCCTCTAAGATATTATGCAAAATACAGCAGGCTTTTACTATAAAAGTCTTTGATTCCGGTATAATACATTCGGTGGTGTTTAAAATATGCCAACGACCAAATAAACGCTTCATAGCAACATCCCTATAAATGTTTAAACTGCCAAAACATTTATTGAATTCATATTCCCATGTTTCTTTGGGATTATCATATTTTTGCATAAGCCAAGTGCGCAGCGGATAACCGGGAGGAGCGACTATAAAGTACGGCACTATACAGGTGTCAGAGAATTTCTTCCAGTTGAGGCTGATTTCGTTGGGTGAACGCAGGAACATGGTGGGTTTTTGGGTGGTCGTTTCCACTTTACGAAACAGTAAACGATTATCTAAACAAGCTTGTACTTTAAGATTTTTGCCGCCACAGCTTCTGTTGCGTCCACAAGCACAGACATTGGGCACCTCGAATAGACTTAAGACACCCGCCACACAGGGTGTCATATTAGAAGCTTTTTGAAAACCATTGGATATTCTATCAAACTCTTTTTTCGTTTTCGGCATGGTTAAGGTCTCTTCCGAAAATTCTTTTATCAAACAGCTTATAAACTTAAATAAAGATCTTCTTGCGTAAATTCTCTCCACATTGAAAAGCATAGCAACAGAACTAAATGTACTGCCGGTGGCTAACATATAAATACACATGGCAATCCAGGATTCCAAAGGTAGTTCTATATCCAGCAATGAGGTTTTTAGTCTAGCACATATAAGATCAAATATATCTTTAGGCATATGAAATGTATCTAGCCACTGGTCATTGGTAAATTTGGAAACAACATCTTTGTAAAAACACAAAGTTTCTGAAGACTCTTCTTCTTCTTCCATAAGGCTCTCCTCCTCAGGTGTACTGTTAGTAGGATTTTCAAACTTTTGTTCTTTTGATACAGCTGTCGTTGTGTTGACAATGTTTGGCCGAGTATGACTCGTTTCCTTACAGAGCGAAGATTCAATTGTCGTAGTATCCTCAAACTTTTGTTCATCTTTTGTGCTGTTGTTTTCCCCAAATACTTGAGGTTCTATTGATAGCGGTAACATTTTCGCAAATCTTATTTGCATTTCCATTAAGGATTGTATAAAGAAATTTCTCAACGTACTCTGTCTTCGCCTTAAACGTTGCTTGGATCTGCGCCTGTTAAATATTACAATGCGCTGATAGTTTTGTACATGTAGTCTTAGTAAAGATATGGCCATTTCCAATTTATCTAAAAGTTCCTGGTCATATTTGGCAATGAGTTTTTTCTTTTCTAATTCCTCAACTTGTGTCTCCAACTGCGTAAATTCTTCCGAAATTTCACTGTCTTGATATTCTTCGTCTAAATGCTCTTCAAACATTTCCTCTGTAATGAGAAATAATTACAATTTATATATTTATGAGTTTAAAATTGATAAAAATTACCATCGAAATCCATTTTTAAACTTTTTTTGTTTTTTTTTTCCAAGATATATAAATATTTTGTTAGGTTAGATTGAAAATAAATAAACAAACAAAAATATAAACAAATATAACAGAGTTGTATTTATCATAATGCTGCCAATAGAGTTTTTTTTAATTAATAGGATTACCGTATCAAGTGAAGGAATTGCAAAGATATAGCGAAAGATAACTGTAATTCGTAAAATGTTATTGAAATCAAACCAAGAGATTTTTATTTCCTTTTAATTTTGACATTCGTTCGCAGCGACATCAACAATATTTAAATAAATCTGTTAATTTATGCAGTTTTCATTCTGCCATTAAATGATTTAGATTTATTTTACTGACAAATATGTTATGCCATAAAATTTCCGGTTCGTAATAAACAGGGAAACCGAAAACATGCTCTAAAAAAAGTGTTTTAAGCGCTTTAAATATGCTGTAAAAACTCAAAATATGCTCTTAAAATTTAAAATATATGCTCCAAAAATAAAATTTTTAATTATTTTTTAACATTGAAAAGCTCAAAAAGACTGAAATTGTAATGAAATAATAAATGTTTAATGTCATATTCTATATCCTACAAGATTTTTTTTATAAATGTTTCATCTCATAGTTTGAAGAACTAGTTTAATAGAATTCCGTTTTACGTTCAGATAACCAATAAATAACATGAAACCATTTGGTCCCCAAAAAACATATTTCAAACAACAAAGTTTGACACATTTCTTCCAATTGTATTCATAGCTTTTAAACTGACATTTTAATCGGTGTTGTCATAAATTCCAATAATTAGTTTTTTAAACTATAAAAATGGATTGGTCTCATGAAATCAAAAGTAATCGGTTTTATGTCCGATCTAAAATGTAATGCTTTATTGAATAAAAAACGATAACATTGGTTTTCATGAGAGTAATGTATTTTTTCAGTTTTCAAGTTCTAAAAACGAATTTTTTTTTCAAAATTGTAAAACAGGCTAAAAAATTTAAAAAAAATAAAAAAATAAAATTTTATTTTTTTAAATAAAGTTTTGAAAAGAAAATTAAAAATGTACAAAAACGAAAAAAAGCGAAAACATCAAAATATGCACTAAAAGAGTAAAATATGCTCTAAAAACTCGAAAATATGCCTTAAATATGCTAAAAAAGTCAAATAATGCAAAATTGTGCTCTTATGGGTAAAATATGCAAAAATATGCTCTAACAAATCGATGCCAAAATTCTTAAATTGGTCTGAAACGTGTAAATACCTTATCCATGAGTCCATACGACGCACCACAAAAAACATGCATTTGCATATTTTGGTTTCCCTGGTAATAAATATTCCTTATTAGTGCCCTAAGCCGAGCCGTTCTAAACCAAACCGCTCAAAGAGATTGGAAGCTAACGCCGATGAAAATCTTCTAGTTTAAGTGGTCTTGAAACAGACCTACATGTATGTTTTGCGTAGTTCCTGTAAAATTTTGATGTAAATTTCGAAAAATTCTTAATTAAAAAGTTATTTTTTTCTCTTCATGTTTAAAAAACAGGAGTTAATAGCTCCAATAAAAACGGCGTTACTTGTTTTAAAGCCAGCCGTCACAGTTGAGATATTAATTCGGTGCCGGTCACTGTTTTAAAAACAGTTGTTTTCGTTAATTCTCCTTTACATTACCATTCTAAACAAAACAACTCTTAAGTTTACAATAACAAAATTTTGTTTACGTTTAGCATACGAAAAGCAAATTGCAAAAATAGAAAATATACGCAGACGCAAAATAAAACAAAAAAATAAAGAAAAAAACAGGACGAAAACGTCAAATGAGAAAAAATTTTGCTAGAGAAATTTTCACTTTTTAAATAAAGAAAATTTTCTAGTGGACACGCGATCTATTAATTAGAGGTTTTAAAGAAAATTAATTGAAAATTTCAAAGAAACTTAGAGTAATTAAGTACAGAATATAAAAGAAAATTGTTATAAAGTGGTAATAAGAGAAATAAAAAAGAATATTATTCAACTTTAAAAGAATCCATGGCTACTGGTGGTACAACTAATATTGGAGTTTCATGTGGAGGTGGAGGCATAAATGCTACCAATATTAATTTACAATTATTGCAAACATTCCATCAACGTTGTGGTCGACGCATTACCTTGTCCAATGGCAATCGCACGGCCACACGTTCCGCTAGAGATTTTAGCCATGCATTGGTATTTAGTGCAGAGCCTTTGATAGATGATGTTTTGTTTGAAGTGGTTATAGAGAAAAAGGTACGTGCTTTGTTTGTTGTTTTAACATTTGGGTTCATTGATTTTTCTTTTTTTTTTCTTTGTGGCAGAATCATTGTTGGGGCGGCAGTATAGAAATTGGTGTAACCTCGGAGTCGCCGGAAAAATTAGAATTGCCCTCATGTGCTACGGTAATGCGAAATGGTACTTGGGTTATGTCTGGTATTGATGTCCGTAAAGATGGTTTGTGTCTGACGGAGTTTTATGGTACCGATTTGGAGACTTTGAATGAAAATGATCGTGTGGGTGTTATGCGTACTTCCAATAATGAGTTGATTTTCTACGTTAATGGCGAATCACAAGGTATAGCGGCGCGTAATATGCCCAATCCATTGTGGGCTTTAGTGGATCTTTATGGCCGCTGTATACAAGTTTCGATATGTCCGGTGGAGGGTAATGGTGGTGGGGTAAGTTGATTTATCATAAAAATATTTTCCAAATATCTGTAGTTTCCCTTTTTAGGAATTTTCCGATACCTCTTCACAACATTCCCAACAGGTGGTGCAGAACATTGATGTACCCATGTGTGTGGATGTCACTGTTACCAGCTCCTTTAATCCCTATCCCACCAATACTCATTCCGAATCTATGGGTTCTGTAGCAGCAGCTGCTGTACTCTCCTCACTGCCCACTTCAGGATTTTGCAGTTTACCTTTAACCAATGCAGGCACTACAACGTCTTCTATCTCCTCTTCAGTGGGTGATTATTATGATATGAACGATCGTTTAAGATTTCATACACGTTGCGGTTCGTTGGTGAAACTTTCACCCAGCTGTCGTTCGGCTGAAAGACGTAGACCTTTGGATGAGTTTAACAATGGTGTAGTTATGACTCATCGACCGCTAAAGGACAATGAACTCTTTGAGATACGCATAGATAAATTAGTGGACAAATGGTCGGGGTCCATAGAGGTGGGTGTAACAACGCACAATCCCAATGTTTTACATTTTCCGGCCACCATGACAAATATGCGTTCGGGAACTATCATGATGTCTGGTTGTGGTATTTTAACCAATGGTAAGGGCACACGTCGCCAATATGGAGAATTCAATTTGGATGAATTGCGTGAGGGTGATCGTGTTGGTATGATGCGCAAATCGAATGGTAATTTACATTACTACATCAATGGCCAGGATCAGGGTGTGGCGGCGACAAGAGTAGCGTCTACTCTGTGGGGTGTTATTGACCTCTATGGCATGACCATTAAGGTGACCATAGTAGATCGTGACGAAAGAGAACAGCAAAATTTGGTGACCAGGCGTAATAATTTGATATCTTCCAATGCTGCTGGCGCCATAGGAGGTTTAGGAAATGTTCTGGCAAATGGCAGTGGTTTGGGTAATTCTGCTGCTCCTACTCCAGTTCTAAGTCTACTTAGTCCAGAAAGTGAAGTGGCCGCCATGGCCGATTCTGCTCTCACTGCTCCAGCTGGCAATCAACGCAATAGTGATCGTTTAACTTTTCATCCCTTGTGTGGTTCACATGCTTGTGTAACGCATTCGGGTAGGACGGCGTTGAGACCTAAGTATTGTTTGATAACATTATAAAAAACGTAATTTTGTAATTATTTCTTTTTAAACCTTTTTAGTGCTTCCGATGACTTCAATAATGGTGTTGTTTTGACTCGTAGGCCTTTAAGACCTAATGAATTGTTTCAAGTGCGTTTGGAAAGAGTGGTAACCAAATGGGCGGGTTCAGTAGAAATGGGGGTAACTACACACAATGCCGAGGAATTGGAATTTCCATTTACCATGACTAATGTTAGGTGAGAATCAGTTTAAAATGTTTCCTCTACTAAGATTATTTTTTATTTGAGCTTTTCTTCCTAAAAGCTTATATTTTTTTTAAACTGAAAAAAAGCTTTTTTTTGATAAAAAGCTCTCTTGAAAAAAACACTAGCTTGAACTAGAAAAGCTATATAAAGCTTTTGCAAGCTTTCTTTATAAAAAGCTTTTCTAAGCCTTATTGATAAAAAGCTTTTATAAGCTTTCTTTCTAAAAAGCTTTTGTGAGCTTTTTTGAGAAAAAGCTTCTGTAAGCTTTCTTGAGAAGCTCTTTAGTAGATTTTAAAGCTTTTTTAATACAAATTTAGGTTATAAATGCGTTTTCTGATTTATTTATTAATTTTATAATTATTTATAAATTATTTTCATTGTTCTTACAGAGATGGTACTTGGATGATGACCGGTAACGGTGTTATGCACAATGGCATAACGGTTATTGAAAAATATGGCGAAAATTTAGATCGTTTGCAGGTGGGTGATCGTGTGGGCGTAGTTCGCAAAGACGATGGTACTTTACATTTCTTTGTTAATGGTGTCGATCAAGGACCAGCGGCCACTAAAGTCCCTGAACGTGTTTATGGCGTTATAGATTTGTATGGCCAGGCTGCGCAGGCTTCCATTGTCGATACTTCCGAGTGTAATAGTCCTGATACCGGCAACTCTACTATCTCCAATACCACTTTATATAGTGAAACTCCTTTAAGATTTCATACGATACACGGTAAAAATGCCAGTATTTCGAATAGTGGTTTAACGGCCTCACGTCCCAATTCTTTGGCTGAGTTTAATGATGCCATTGTTTTTAGTAATAGACCCTTAAGGCAGAGGGAACTATTTGAGGTGGTATTGGAGACTATGGTGCGTCATTGGTCGGGTAATATTGAAATTGGTGTAACTGGTTCGCGGCCTGAAGATATACAACTTGCTGCCAATGCCACCGAAATGGATGCAAGTGATACGATTATTTTGTGTGGCCCTATGATTTTCCACAATCGCAAAAAATTACGCTCAA